CCCTTCTCCAGCCCCCCGCAGCTGCCCCTCTGCCCCTTCTCCAGCCCACTTTGGCATCCAATTTTGCAATGCCAACCTCCCCAGGGCAGCGATGCAGCCGACCTCACCCTCTTTGCTTCAACCCAAGGTCCACTTCCATCGGGCCAAGCAAGGGGAGTGTACCCTGCACATGCTCAGAGACTCCCAACTTCAGTGAAGCATTCCGCCCATCTTCATGCTCCACCTGGGAAAAAGGCATGCAGAAGCAGCCCAGACCAGAGGAAACGGAGGGAACGATCGCTTGGAAACTAAGCAAGCAAGCAAGCAAGCAAGCAAGCAAGCAAGCAAGCGCAGGGCTCAGTCGGAAGAACCGGGCTGCAGAGGGAGGCTAGGTTCTAGGTCCTAGACGGCCATGTAGAGCCGAACCGAACCGAGCCACACGCCTTGGAGAGCCGCAGCTGCACCCACCTGCATCCTGCGCGCAAGCTGGGGAGGCGGAGGCCGGGCGGGTGCTGCACGTTCCCTTGTTCTCCGGGGAAGGGGGCCCTAACACCCACCCCTTCCACTGCACGCCTTGGGAGGGTTTTGCTTTTGGGCCTTCTGGCGCGCCTCCACCACTTCCACCGGAGAGGGCAGCCTGCAAGCTAAGGCACCTTCTTTCCACTACCTCCCACCTCTCCCCCCCCAGGCTTGGCAAGGCTCACCGCGCGCGGGTTCCACATTCAAGGCGCCGGCTACGGAGCGATGAAACAGTCAATGGGCTGCGTGGCTGGCAGTCAGTGAGCCTGCGGGACCAGCACCTTGAACGCCCCCCTGCCATGTCTTAGTGCCCCCTGCTGGCCCCCTTGTCTCTTACTGCCCCCCTAAGGCATCCGCCCCCCAAGGGGTGGTACCGCCCACTTTGAGAACCACTGTTCTAGAGCCTCAAATGAACTGAAAACCTCCTATTTGCAAACAGAAACGTTACTCTGGGGCACAAAATAACAGTGATACGACCCATCGAACTAGTAATACTTCTAAAAAGCCAGATAACTAACAAGCTTTTGATACTGAAGATGTTAACTTAGGCAACACTCAACAGTTAGCAGCAGAGGAAAACCATATATCTTTAAAGGAAATGTGCAATGTTACCTGCCCTGCATTTTTCTGATTAACAAGTTGATCTCCTGCAATAAGAGCATCCCAATTCTGCTGCCGAATTAGTTCTTTTACTTCCTCATTAGGAAGATCTATACGATAATTAAAATCACCACACCAAAATACATAGTCATGTGAAAACAGCATTCTGCCCTGAAACACAAGAATAATTTGGGTACAACACATATTTATTATTAAGTTACAGTACAGGCTATCCTTGACATACAACTGTTAATTTAGTGACCTTAGTTACAACAGCACTGAAAAAAGTGACATATGACCAATTTTCACTCTTACGATCATTGAAGCATCCCCATAGTCATGTGATCAAAATTCAGGTGCTTACAACTGACTTATATTTATGATGGTTGCAGTGTCCTGAGGTCATGTGATCATCTTTTTTACCTTCTCACAGGCCAAGTCAACGTGGTAGTCAGATTCGCATAAGAACCATGTTACTAACTGAACAACTGCAGCAATTCACTTAACAAGAAAGGTTATAAATTGGTACAAAATTCACTTAACTGTCACGCTTAGCAACAGAAATTTTAGGCTCAATTGTGATCATAAGCTGAGGACTACCTATATATGCAATATTTGCATTCACAATCTTTTGTCAGTCTCCATTTGAAAGAAGAGATATTTGGCTAATTTCACTTTTACATTATCATGTTACTGCCTCATCCATTTCACTATATATTTCAGACACTTTTTTATTTATGTGCAACTGACAGCAACTAGAATACATGTACAGAATGTTTCTTCTGCCTCTACAATCCTTTATCAATCAAAGTTTATCACAGCACATAACTACAAGACCTCAGAAGACAATCATAATTATTTTCAATGAACTGATTTAGATGTTTATTCTATTTATCTTATTTAGCCTGGCCCTGCAATTACAAGGCTAATTTATATTTACTTCCTGTTAGATTGGCACTTGTATATTACAACTATTCTTCTAAATGTTTGAGAGGTCAAAAATGGATATTTTTTCTCATTTGTAACAGTCACATGATAAATTTATAGCTCTTTTCACACGAAGTCTTTGGGGAGATAAGTACCATCACTAACCAAAGAATTGAATATTCCCCAGAAATAGGTTTACTGCATTTACGTATTTATGGGACCAAATCATAAACTTAAAAATAAAAAAACTTAATGCAACATCGGAAAACTCTAGGTAACATAACCATTGAGTTGCAGATTAATAAGACCTATTACATTGGGAAAAAAGCCACATACAAAGTGAATTAATGAGACATCAAAGACAGGAACCACATCAAATTTGGATGGGTTTTATGATTTATCTCAATAGCAAAAAAGACGAAATCCTTGTTTTGCCAGTTGGGTTGGGGTCCTGAGGGGGTTTGCTGACTGCTGGAGGTGGTTGACAGGGTGAGATGATCTCATCCTCGTGCCAGCCGTTTCCTTGATTTTAGTTATGTATGTAGCTTTTGAAATTTTAATTGTTTTATATATATCTTTTTTATTATCTGTAAGTTGTACAGAGTTTCCTTATAGGGGAGAGGGCCAGCATATAAATTAACAAAGTAGTCATAAATAATCTTTTATGCTTCATATATATGACAATTTTTAAATGCACAGTATCTGCTCTTTTATCCTCACTGCAGATAGCTTTTATTTCCATATTCCTCCCTTTTTTCTGCATAGATTTATGTTAATGTTGTCACTTGATATTGTTCATTAAAAACTAATAAAATTAAATTTTATTTTTACTTCCAAAATATTTGATAGATCATGGAAAGTAAGTGCAGTTATTAATAGAAATAAGTTATTGATAATTATTTATTAAATGTTGATCATTCTTCTATTGAAATATACATAAAAATACAGATGAAAATCAAATCTTAGTCTCTGATTATAGTATTTTTGCACAAATCTGTTCATGTAACATTTATTGGGGGGGGGGGTCTTGAAATTCGGTATTTATTAGAATCTTTTCAGACAATATCAGAGTTAGGAAATTTAATTTCATCTTACCATTGGGAAGCTCAGTTTGCGACATATTTCTACAAAATCTTCATTTCTCTCTTTGACTTGTGACTGCCCTGCAGCAAAGTGACTGCATACAAAGCAAAGACTGGATGTATGAAACAACATTCGAATAGCTACTGCACCCTTATTACCAGTAGCTCCTCCCATACCAGTCTTTACAGTGTCTACTGCAACATCCCTACAATGAAAATTAAAACAAATTCAATTAGATAATCAAAAGATGTAATTTTCATTTTTTGTTCAAGTTTTCAAAACATTTAAGTCTTATCACTTGCAAATAATTTTAACTGTCTTAGATGATCAGATTCTATCATCACTGAGTACATTCAATGGTCCAGTCCAATGAGATTCGCACAATAGTACAGTATTTAACCAAGAATATTTATTCTTATATCAGTTTCAAACTGAATTTTTGGATCCATGCTGGGTGGGAACATTTTGAAACCACATTACCAAATAATGTCTGAATAGAAAATATTATGGAAAACAATTTTTTCCTATTTCGAAATGAGCCTTTCCCCTCAGAGTAGCATGTGTATAGAAATAGAACAATAGAAAAGCAGTGAGGTCGAGGAAATCAAATTATATCAAATTCAATTTGATGTCACAGCTAGGATTCTATGACATATATAGTATGATCTGTTTGGTACTAGCAGATCCCTAATACACTCTAAAATGTCATATTGAGTGTCTCCTGTTTTTTTCTCTCTCTCTTTCTAGAGAGCTTTCTATGGTGTGTTTTATAGCAGGAAAAATATTCCCAAGCACATACTAAATAAAATATATATCAACATTTTTTCTCTTTATCGGTTAATTTTGTAAGTATAATCACATAAAATTTTATTATTGAAATTAGGATAGGAATATTCATTATCTGTGGTTATATCTGTAAACTTGTTTCATGAAGGTTTTAATATGTAGCTGAAATACATGCATCAATCAGAGTGATGATATGACCTAAAATGGTGGGTTTTAACCTGTCAGAACATTTACCTGATAAAAGGGGCATGTTGAGGTCTGATGAATACAAAGAGGCACACACCCACCAATTGTTCTGAAGCCAAGAGAACATATTTGCAATCTCTTGAGATTGTCTTCTGCAGCTCAGCAGCCCATAACTTCTGATTAGTTGTACTGCCAGTATAGACAAAATAATATTTTAGTTTTTATAGGATCTGTACATTATTTTTTTCTGAAAATAAAAGTTCTTTTAAAAAAACTAAAATTGAAAAGTAGGAACTTGTAGCAATACAGGTAATCTGCGAATTACAAGTTTGTTTAGTGACCATTCAAAGTTACAATGGCACTGAAGTGATTTACAACAGTTTTTTTCACATTTACGATGACTGCAGCATCTCCATGGTCATGTGATCAAAAATCAAATGTCTGGCAATTGATTTATATTTATGATGGTTGCAATGTCCAGGAGTCGTGTGATCATCTTTGGTGTCATGTGATCATCTCTTTTTTAAAAAAATAAATTTTATTGATTTTACAATTAAAACAAACCAACACCACATACATAAAAGAGAGAAAAAGAAGAAAGGAAGAAGAAAATAGAAAGAAAAAATATAAAACAATTAAAAACATTCTCATCTTCAACAGTTTGTAAGACCTCTTTTTTATCCTTATTTTATGCCATATGCACACACCTAATCCTTACATATATCTGTGTATCACTACTATGGATCTATCCTATCCTCTTTTGCCTTTTAGTGTGAAGTCTATCTTTGGTCTATCCATTTGTACCAGCAGTTCCAGCTGTTGTAGTGTATTGAAGTGTCTTTATTTTTTAATGCCAAAGTTAATTTGTCCATTTCTGCACAACTTGAAATTTTTTGAATAATCATCTCCTCTGATGGAACATGAGGCTACTTCCAACATTGTGCGAAAGCCAATCTGGCCGCTGTCAAAATGTGTATTATTATATATTTCACTTTTTTTGATATTTATTTATCAAAGATCCCTAACAGAAAGGACTCTGGTTTGAATTCGATCTGTTCTCTTGTCATTTCTTCCAGCCAATTTCTAATTTTCTGCCAATATTTTTGAGCTTCTGTACAGGACCACCACATATGGAAAAAAGTTCCCTCTTTTTTTTTGCATTTCCAGCAATTCGGACTCATATTGGGGTGCATCTTCGCTAATCTCGAAGGAGGAAGGTGCCATCTATAAAACATTTTATAAGCATTTTCTTTGTATGCTACCGATTTTGTAATTTTATTATTTCTACCCCAGACCTTTTTCCATTCCGTTATGGTGATGCTACGTCCTATATTCCTACTCCAGGCTATCATGTTCCCTTTTACAATTTCTTCTTCTAATTCTACTTCTAATAAATAATTATAAAATTTTGTTATTTTTTTTTTGCCTGATCCTAATAAAATTTTATCTAATTGCTGGAGTTTATTGTTAATTCCAAATTCTTTCTTGTCCTGTTTATATCTACTTTGAATTTGAAGATATGCTCACTGATCAATTTTTCATGTGATCATCTCTTATGACCTTCTGATAAGCCAGATCTGGGGAAGCCAGGTTCACTTAACAACTGTGTTACTAACTTAACAATTGCAGTGATTCACTTAACAACTGTGGCAAAAAAGATTGTAAACTGGGGCAAAATTCACATAACAACTGTTTCACATAGCGACAGAAATTTGGGGCTAATTGTGATTGGTAGTTGAGGATTATTCACCACCCCAAAAAAACACATGGAACACACAATAATGCCTGTTAGTAGCTCTCTACAAAATACATAGACTTAATTGTTTCCATAATTAGGATGTGGTGTTGAAACGGATGTAAACAGACATTTCACTTATTTTACCAGTACACATAATTGATCCTGGTATCCTTCTCTAGACCAACAGTGGGGGTTGGAGGTGGGCAGTACAGGGCTGTGCTGGTTCTCTCCTCCTTCCTCTTTCCTCTGAGGTAGATTTCAATCAGTGTTAACAGTGGGGAAGAGATCCAGCCTACAATTCCTGTCCTGGGAGGTACTGCAGGAATTAGTTGTCTCTCCCATGTTGAACATTTACATGAGGCCATTGGGTGAGGTCACCTGATAGTTTGAGGTGAAGTGTCACTTGCATGCTGAGAATATCTAACTATACATCTCCACCTTAGGCTATGTGAGTGATGCCATGGACATGATGCCATGGACACCTTAGGCTACGTGAATGATGCCATGAAAGGTCTAGGGGTCTGGAAGAGATGCAGCAGGCTTCTGCTCAACCCAAGCAAATCAAAGTAGATTTGGGTGTTTGGATCTTTTATTGCTAGGAATTTTCTATTTTTGGTTCTGGATGGAGTAGCAACACCTCAGATAGACTTGGTACAAGATTTGGGGGTACTCTTGGAATCACTGGTCTTGCTGAAGGAGCAGGTTGCAGCTATAATTAGGAGGGCCTTTGCATACCTTTGAGTTTTATACCAGTTACTTCCTGTTTGGACTACTACAATGTGTTGTAATGAAACTGCCCTTGAAAAGCATTTGGAAACTTTAACTGGTGCAGAATGCAGGAGCATGAGTACTTAATGGCACCAGTTATTTGGTGCATATCATATCACTAGTTCATTGGTGGTCAGCATGTTTTCTGGTGCAATTCAAGCTGCTAGTTGTCATCATTAAAAGGTCTCTTTGACTTGGGATCAGGTTACTTGAGGGACTGCCTCTCCTCAGTTGTTTGTTCCTGTACTATCAAGTCCATCAAGATAGCATGCTTTGGGTCTTGTTAGCTGAAGAATGCTTGTTGGTAGGGACAAAGATTTTTTTCCATAGTGATCACCCTATAGAACATTCTCCCTCCGGAAACTAGGATGGTCCCAACACTGTTGACTGTTTGTAAGGCACTAAAGATCTTGTTCTTGGGCCCAAGTGTATGAAATGTGTGTAATCTCCTGGCTGCATTACCTCTGTTGACTATATGGTGTTTTCCTCTACTGTTATATATATTTAATATTTGTATTTTTTTTATATTTGAGGGGTCCTTGGTGCTCTCTGAGCTTGCTTGTTTGCTTGCAGATGTAGTTAGGGTAATCCCTAACTAGGTAACATCATCAATCCTAGAAAGGAGTGTTGTTTACTATATTCTAGTGACTTGCTTGTCTGTGTGGGTGTGGGTGTATTTTTATATTTATTATGTCATTGCTTTTATTCTACTTGTTACTGTTCACTGCCCAGAGTAATTTATTGAAATAGGCAGCTTTACAAAATGACTAAATAAGCAAATAAATAAATAAGAAAAAAGTGGAGTGCTATCTTTCAGTCAGTTCTGACTTTTGACTAGTTTTCTTGGCAAGATTTCAGAAGTGTCTTGCTGTTTTCTTCTCAGGGCTGAGACAGAGGGACTGGCCCAAGGTTACCCAGCAGGCTTTGTGCCTAAGGTAGGACCAGATCTCTCAGTCTCCCAGTTACTAGCTGTGGCTTAACCGCTACCCCAAACTGGCTCTCAATAAGAAAGCATACCCATGGTGAATTCGTATTTGTTCCTTGTGCATCAGCTGTGTAAACTCCATTTGTTTAAAAAGCAACTTGTGATAGCTTTCAGACAAGCATTCATAGCAACTGTCCAGGCTTTTTATAAGAAAAAGCTGCAGAATATTGTCAGCAAGGATTCAGAATAGGCAAGTTGTGTATCAGGGACAAATATAAGCATTTGATTTTAGGTTCTGAATTACTAAACATTATTTCATTTTTGAAAGTACTGGCATCTTACACTTTGGCAGTCTGTTTAATTCAATATTTATAAAGCAGTGGCACCTACCTTGCACTCACGATGTTTCCTGCATTTAGCTCTACCATTTCTTCAAACCCTATAGCAAAGATGTCAATAGATTTGCTCTTTCGATCTGAAATTCAAGAGTGAAAATTATGACAACTGCTTTAAAGAATAAAGATGCAAAGTGAATAAAAATCAAAATAAACCCAGTAATAATAATACAGCAAGGATTACCTTGGAATTCACTGACGCAAGCTATCTTTGGTGCATCCAAAATCCAGTCAGTCAGAGTCTGATTTCTAAAGGCAATGCTTCGAAATTGCTTCCCACCATTGACATTCCATGTTCCAACACAAATTCGAATTTTTTTGGGCTTTGAATATTTGTAAAAGTTCTCACACATGCTCTTCAGTATTTTTGCTGATGCTACAAAACATTGTTTACACAAAAATATGTTATTTTGTAAGTAAATTTTCAAATCTCCAAGTCAGCAAGCCAAAAGCATTAAGCTTGAAAAATAAATCAACAAAAAAGCAAGTACCTTCTCAATTAAGGCTTTATCAAGTTTTCAAGTGGTAGTTCTACATAAATAATGGCTCAGAGAACTGAATTCTGAAGCATGTTTTAAAGTCACATTTAGCCATGTTTAAAAATCTCCATTATATTAAATATCTGTGGCATGTTGCTTAACTTTTTTGAAACTAGTAGATTCACCATTTATTCTATAGAACAAGTTTGTTACAGATTATGATTTATTGTGATTGTGTTTGGTTTTTCCCCACAGTGCTTTCTAAGGACCACCAGATGCATTTGTTTTTAGTATGTTTTTTAATTGTCTGCCCAATGCTAAGAAGAGGAATTAAATTCACATTTGATTCTCTTCTTAATAGCAGACAGAATCTTAAAATAAATTCTAAATAAAAGTGATGGCCATTTGAAATTTAAACCTCAACAGGTATTTTTTATCTTACTTTCAGCAAGTACCACAAGGTCAGCTACTTTCAGCAACTAATGCAGGGGTCTTCAAACTTGACAGCTTTAAGACTTCAACTCCCAGAATTCCTCCTCTAGGCATGTTAGCTCAGGAATTCTAGGAGTTGAAGTCCACAAGTCTTAAACTTGCCAAGTTTGAAGACGCTTGAACTAATGCTTCAACACGTCTTGCATTTTCTTGGTGTTAATGATGAGCAATAGGATGCTTTCACCACTTCAGTTCATAAGACGAGTCTACCATTTTGGTTGGAGATAAGCATGACGAAAGAGTCATAGAATCCAAATTTATGTATTTCAAAATCTGAAGTATAGCACCAAAAATTTCTCTAACTTGTCTTTCAAAGTGTTAATTGAAAAATATTTCCCAGGACAACCAAGTCTCATGACATTGTTGCTAAGAATAAAGTCTTTCTTTAAACTAAGGACTGTCAATACCATTTTTCTTATGCCAAAGTTTATACTCTATCCACTCTACTTGTCTTTTACTAGTGACAATGTTAATATGATTAAGAATAAAAATAAGATGGACTTAAGACCGAATATATCTGAAACTAACAGGCAGGAAATAGTTCCTGGAATAGATCAAACTTCATAAGAGTGCATACTCTGCATGCATTTCAAGGAAACAAAAATATCTAAAAATAATTTAACATTGATTATTATTCCATATATTGATAATTATGGGTGCTATACTCTACCTGATTGCAAAGTTTGCTCTGAAACTATGGATGCAATGAGAAAGGAAAGAAAATAAATTAAATTAAACGAATAGTTAGATGTTACCAAGTTATATTGGAAGATTTCCAGGATATCTTACACTGAATGTTAATAATTTAGAAAAAATTACTATACAAAAACAATTTCCTAATCTTCTGCAGAGTATTGCATATAATATAGCCATCTATATAATGTTGCATAACTCAAAAATAGCTGCAAATTTAATTAACTAAACTCTGAAACTATTGTTCAGACTTCCAGAACCAGAATCTAAGACATTTATACTTTAAAGTACAAGTATAAATAGTGTTATGTACAGGGAGTGTCAAACAGTAGTTAGATTTGATGAAAATATGGGATTTTTTCTTGAATTAGTACAGTCTATTCATACATACATTTGAGATATAATAAACATGAGATTCCTCTATTTTCTAAGGTTCTCAAAAATAATCTAACCAAAGCATAGCCAAGTATTTAAAGAAAGGAGACTGTTGTTATAGAACACTTTGAATTTTCTTAAAGCACACAGAATATAATTGTTCAACAATTATGAACAGAAAAAAATGCTACTGTTTTTATACAGTAGTATGAATTTGTGTACTGAAACAACACAGTGCATGGATTATAAAGTAATTCTCATACTTCTATAAAATGTTTGCAAGAAGAACATATTTTGGTTTTGTCTCTCTTTTTTTTTTACACAATGCTCTTGCAAATAGAATACTTTATTTCTTTAGATTTTGGTACCGCCCTGCTCTAAATTGACTCTAGGCAGCTAATCTTCCACATGCAGAAGTGAAACCTTGGATGTAATCAGTTTTATTAGCAGACATACATATTAAGAATCTAGAAACACATACCACGTAAACTGCCGGTGGTCAAGAGAGCCCGTGCTTTGTCTGCTAAATCACTATTTAGGGTATTGCCCAGCAACAAAACATCAATAGCTTCCTGCTTTGAACTATCAAAAAAATTATTTTGAATTGTTCTAGTCACGGAACGTGCACCATCCTTCAGCTTTCCGGCCTGGTAGGAAGGAAAATGTATAAATATTTTATAAGCTATTTATACAAGTTTGGCAAACATACATAACATGGTTCGAAATCAATTTACAGTCTTCTATTAAATAAATTAGTTTTCATGGAGTATAAAACTCAATTATTACAAATTTGCAAATCAATAGGTTTTATGCTGGGATAGGATCAAAGACAAACATAAAATCCTTAGACATATAAACCAAAACATTATTTAAATGGGTGTGACAAAAAGTTATATAGAGTGATCATGAACATCTTGCATTTATAAAAAGTAAAATACCCTTCTATCACAAAGCCATTTATTTAGCATATGCTGAAGAAACTATTCTTAAGTGCTTCAGTTGCAATTGGTTGTTTTCAGACTTTTTCTCAGTAGAATTCTGCTTGCATTGGAGAAGAGACGCAGGCAGTGGTATTCCAAATTCTTTTCCCCCACATGGTGAGGTTATATCTTTTTGTATTTCATCTCTTTTTTAGATCTACCTCACTTGTGTGAATTTGCTCCCCTCACTTCTGAGAGAATGCTGCCTATTCTCTCAAGCTGTCTTTCACTCTTGCCCTTTTGCTGAGCTGAATAAAGATGGTTTATATCAGATTGCCTAAAGCTAAAGTGTGATACATGCTACATGTTGTTAGAAGTAGTGTTGTTTGAAGGTATGGGCTTTCTGCAGAAGAAATAAATCTGTTCTAGCAGAATGGATACCTTTAGTTCCCCAATGGCACTGTTGTTATAAAGTAATACTACAGGGAATTAGAATAAGTAGGAGAAGGAATTTAGGATATATTTAACTGCAAGATGGGGTACAGATACATCAAAAATTGAAATGATTGTTACATTGCATAAAAGAAAATCCATCTGCCATATATAATACTGTGGTTTTCTTGGGAGAGGAGGTGGATAAAGTCCCACCGTTAAAGGAATTCCGGAAGTGATTCCACATCCCATATAAAAATATTGTTTTTGAACAGTACTGGAATAGTACATAGGTAAATAATATGTTTCAGTTTGAGCCTATAAAATTATCACTGAACTATGACTGAAAGTGACAATTGTGAGTTTTGAACTATCATGGATGCCTTATTAGAGTTACAGCTAAATTTATAGGACAGAGAATTGATTTTTTAAAAAATGCAAATCTGTAGGACTGCTTTGGTTATGGCTCTGATAGCAAAGCTTTGTTGAACTGAGCACAGTGATGTAAGATGATATAAAAATGAGAATTTACATGGAAAAAAATGGAGAACTGAACTGTTTAGCATAAAGTCCAAAAAAAGGAAGCCACCATGGGTTACTTTCTCCTTAGAGCTAATACACATTTGAAAATCAATTGCAATAAATAAAGAATATTCTGTGGGGGCATGTATAATTCATATTGTTACAAGTAACACAGAATGTGGACATTGTAAACTGCATCAGCCAAATGTATATTCATGGATGTATTTTAATTCTATCCTTAAAATGTGGTAGCGTGGTTTAGTGTGTGTTGATAATCGGATCTCAATTAGACACAAGCCCAAACATTAACACATTACCTACAGACACAAGCACAAACTTTAACACATTACCTATAGACACAAGCACAAACATTAACACATTACCTGAAGAAACATTCTGACAATTATTGTGTGAAAAGTTATTGTTAGGAACTCAAAACAAATTTAATGCTGTTTGGGGAAAACTGCATAATATCATTAGTAGTTAATTTATAATGTGTTAAGTTATTGAGAAAGTAAAGATCAGTTTTCCACATGCTACATATTTTTGAAATTTCAATATAAGGTAGAATGATATGTGATGAATAGGGAATGGCTTATTTAATGGATATCTCAGTACCATCTGAATAAATACTATTTAAAAAAAATTAAATTCATATACAGATGTTTTCAAAAGATTGGGTAAATTTTAGAAGACATCACATAGCACTCATAACCCTACTTTGACCAAAGAAAAAGGATGGAAAACAACAGAAAACAAATAGCAAAATTGCACAAGTTACTGACAATACACTGCTGATACATTCAAATGTTTGCAACTCAAAAATAAATATGTATGTACAGCACATTTATAATGTTTAGGCATCTGTCTACATGTGTGTGTGTGTGTGTGTGTGTGTGTGTGTTTAAATCATAATTAAAAATTTAGAAAGGAGAATCCTTTCTTTAACAATTGATATGCTCCCTGGGCAGCATAATGCGCTGCAGCTTTTTAATTTCATTTTTCACTGTTCCTAGCTACCATAGCTAATGGAAAAAGACTGCGACAATTGTGATCCAACAAAAATATATTTATTTTAGAAATGGAAGGCATGAGGTTGCCTACCCTGTAAACAGGATAAAATAACATCTTCCAATTCCCAACATTTATTTTTCAAAATACTCTATACTTCACAACTGAACACTTCCTGAAATGGATGAAAAAATATCTTCTAGATATTTTGGCATTTTTCAGGGTCACTATTAAATAAAGTGTAAGTTACAAAAATATAGTCATTGTAATATTCCAACCTAATTTATTACTGACAGGAATCTTAGTTGTGAGGTATCTGCCCACACACAGTCAATATAAAATGTCCTACAGATCTCAATTTTTTTTCCAAATAAGTTTTTGATTGCTTTATTTTTATGTTTTTTTTAATATGGTATAATACCATTTGTAACCAGCCCTTGGGGTGGGGGCAGAAATTGTTGGAAGCAAAGTTTCTTGAACTAAAAATATTTATATAGCATTAATTCTATGCTAACTTTTGAGGTTTGAAATAACTATATTTAAAAATCCAACACTGGCCTTTAAACAAAAACAATGTATCCCAAAGGGAAAGCTACCCTTTTAAAAAGTAAACAAGAGTTCATATCAAATCTTACCATTTTGGCTCTTTAAGTTTGGTGTACATAAATATTTTTAAACACAGTACAGAACATTTGATAATATTCAAGAATTACACTCACCAATTACATATCAGGCAATAGAAATGAACCGAGAGAAAAGGAAAAGAAAGATTAATCAAGATGTTAAAACTACAGTAGAAGATGAAAGAATATTTCAAGTTTTAACTTGAAAAACTTAATCTTCATGGTATTATTACAGAAATTCATGCAATGAAAATGTAACAGAATATGTTATTTTTCTCCGTTTAATCACTATGCAAGCTTCTGAAAAGTCATAGGCAAAATACATAGAAATCCATAAGTAAAAATATATTTACTAATTTAGTTTTCATATATAACATACAGGCAATTCAGGCAAAGACAAATATGAAACTTTTAGCTTAACTATTCTAATTATATAGTACCACTTACAGCTTGCTTTAATAAAACATATATCTAATGTGGTTAGTCATGCATATTGCTGAGCTAAATCTGTAAGATTATCTGCAAAATGTAGTAAAAAACATGGGAAAAGATAAATATTAGTTTTTATAACAGTCATTTGTATGATTTTTAAATGATAGACTATAGAAAAATGATTAAAAGAGGTTGAAATTGTGAAATATCTTAACTCAAGGATAAACGCAACACTTTACTGGGATTACAATATATAGTAGTCCAAAATACAGGAAAGATCCATAGAGTTAAGATACCAATAAATAACAATAGTGAATTTACTATTAAAATATTACCTTTGCTTTTCCTTCAAGAGCTCCAGTTCCAGCATATATTTTACTGACCGAGTCACCATTAACAGACCACATTGACCGAAAAACTTCCTGGAATCGAGTAACCAGCTGAGGTTTTTCAGCTAAGCCTAAAACTTCTAATTGTTTTGTTAGCATCTATAATGAAGTAATAAAAAAGTTGATTTAAACAATATCAACCCATTTAATTAAAAAGAAACGCTTTTGGGCAACCTTATAAAATTGTTATTTAATCAGTTTCTAAAATTTATAGAATATATTCTAACTGTAGATTATATAATTGGCAGAAGGAACCCAGGCCAGTTTAGTATAGTGGTTAAGACTCCAAAAGGTGGAAGCTCATTGGATGGGAGATTCAAGGAGGAATTTCCTGACAATAAAAATGATTAATCCATGGAACAACTTGCCCCCTGGAGTTGTGTGTGCACCATCGCTAGAGATCTTCAAGAAAAGATTGCACGACCATTTGTCCGGGATGGTATAAAGACTTCTGACTTGGGCAGGGCGCTAGACTAGAAGACCACTAAGGTCCTTTCCAGCTCTATGACTCTATGATTAGAAACCAGGAAACAGACTTCTAGTCCTGCCTTAGACACAAAGCCAGATGGATGACTTTGGGACAGTCTCTCACTCTTAGCCCTAGCTCTATATTATAAAAACAATTCAAATGCATGGTGAGGATGGGAAACATGATGTAGATTCTATCATATTACATACAATATTTTTCAATTCTTGATTTCTTGTTTATCACAAACTATAATTTGGAATCTGAAAATTATTTCAGAACACTGTCAGAATCAGAAATTAGGTTTGACATGGATTTTAAAATCTCATTTGCAAATGCCAATTAGGATGTGGGACATAAGAAATAACTATGCATACCAAGAGATGGATAAAACGGAGAACAATTGGCAAAGCAGCCATGTGCCTGCTTAATAATTCAAAAAGAATGTATTTCCGTGTATTCCAAACCAAGTTTTGAGATTAATATTATCATGAAGAATTGGGATTATCTGCAAATAGAAACCTGGATACAGTATAATTTTAAAAACCTGCTGAGATTCCATGACAATGATGAAGATGCCAATGGATGTGTTTTATAGTATGTATATGGATGCAGAAGGGAGCCAAATAAATGAGTGGAAAAGTTAACCTCAATATATATTTTGATTAAAATATGTACAGTTACATCTAGTTGTCCACTGAAAGCCTAATCCTATCTTCTACTGCTCAAACTTAGCAGGACTCTTCATGTCCCCCATGATATAGCAAACAATATATTCATACTCCAAAAGTTTACATATTTTAATTAATGTTTTAATATTGCTATATATGCTTTTTTTAAAGCATGTTCAAAATAATATTTTTCATGGACATAGTTCTTTCTCTAATCAGAATTATTTCATGTTTCAAGATACTTTCTTAATAGATAGCTATTAAGAGATTAACAAAAAAATAAGCTTGTGAACAATGTATTCAGGGAGATTTTTATACTGTGCATTAGTTGTTGATATTTTCAGCCTCTGATTGTAGGTGTTTAGTTCCTAAAATGTCAATATTAGGAAGGTTTGTAGCAGAAATTTTTTTTTAGTTAACTTTTGCTTTCAATAAAGTAATTGTATAAATTTGTATAGATCTATTAACTCCCTGAAATGGAAACTTAACTCTACAAGGAAAAATAAAGATCTGGAAACCTGTATTGTTATGATCTGCTCAATAATAAGACTAATTTATTAAATTTGTATATGATGATTTATTCTCTTACAAAAATGAAAAATAAAATGGAAAAATTTAAGTTATATCATTCAATGAATATTAATTTCAATGTTTTCCCCCAAACTATAATTGTGGAATACAGTTAGGTTCTTACCTCTAAGCCAATGAATGCCTGCACACTATTTGTTCTATCTAGACAATCCAAGCAGTTTGTTCTTATAGTGCCACTCTGTGATCTGCACCAAATACAAGAAGAATATTAAATAATCTCCATATAAACGACAAAACTCTCCCACAAAATGTTAGTCTGGACACCAAAGATAAAGTGTTACTTCACACACATTTGTGCAAAACTGACAAGCCACACATGTATGTGCAAAACTGACTTTCACCATTTATACCTGCTGTAATGGAAAAATACAAGCATGGGATAAACTGCATTATTAGGACAAAAGCAAAATATAATTATTTGCAAATCAACAGAAGTGAAATAACCAAACCTTTTAACTTCTTTTCCATCAAAATAAAAAAATCCACATTCAAAGAATTTCTGGATCTGTGGCTTAAGAACACCATGCAGCTTTTCTGCTTTTCCACCTTTCACCATTTGATGATAGTCAAAATTTACCATTTTGATGTCATTAGCATGTTCAGATGCCTTCAAGTGGCTCTATTGAGATGGCAGAAGACAGACTAGTCAGTATCTGAAACCAGTAGACAGATGACAGTGAAATCTGGTATGACTTCAATTGTTATAAAGATACGATGCTGCCAACAGCTGTTATTTTAACTGTTTGCTTTCTTACTAATAGTTGCAAATGAACATTTTAATACATTCTAGATCAGGGGTGTCAAACTCGCAACCCACAGGCTGGATGCATCATGTGCTGGCCACGCCTACCCCCGTTTTAGCGAAGGGGGAAAAGTCATGATATGTCATGTGATAATGTGACGATGCGAGTTTGACACCCCTGTTCTAGATAAAATACCATGCTTCCATTAAAATTAATGTAAGATACTTTCTGAAAATCAAGATGCTTTAGTGGGATTACTGACATATTACTACTGATAGTCCATATCTCATTTATTAAGACCTGAATTTCTTCTATAAAATCAACATTAATTCATTGCCATGATCTTAAAAATAATTTTAGGTTATTAATAACATGTTTTAATAAATTAATACTGGATTAATTTTAATTGGCTTATACTTTTAAGATTCATTTAAAGTATTTTTTTAATTACAAAAGACAATCTTATTGATATCAGAGACATTTTTTTCCCAAGTATTACACGGAAGTGAGTTGAAAAGAAATCCAATTGTTCTATCTTTATGAATGCAAGGTTTTGATAACTGTAGAACTTTTTCAATATTGCCAGAATGGCAAATTTACTAACGGTTACAATATTCTTACCTGAAAAGCTTTGCTAAGCATATGCTCCCCTTCTTTTGAACCAAGAAGATTCACAATTATCTGCTTACCATATATATATTTAAGAGTATGAAAATGCCTGCCAAGTAAAAAAAGGTCTGTTATCTCTGAGAATGATAAAATCTAGCAACTTTAAACATTTGAGTGGAAGATGCTCTTATTCTTTAGCTACTATCAAACAAACAATTGGAGCTTTTTCCATTTCCAAATCTTGCCTTGTGCATGAAATTATATGGAAATGGTACAAAAGAATTGTAATCTTTAAGGGAAAGCCAAGCAAAGCTTATAACAAAGTTTACTTTTGACATGGATTTATTACTCAGCAAAAAACAAAATATGACTACTGTTAAACAATTAAGATCCTGACATAAATTATCTGTTACAAAATGTTAAATCATAATTCAACAATGTATATGTTAATCTTTCATTTCAATTCCACTGAGATTAAACACATATTAATTGTGAAAATTTATATTAGAATTAGAAATAAATTCATTCTTGAAAAAAGAATTTTACCTGTCAAAGGCTGGTGCGTTTGCTTCAAATCCTCTTGACATTCTGACACGATGAGATCCAACCTGAAACAGAAAAGTGATTTAATTACTTTATCCTTCGATTCAATTTCTTCTTTCACAAAAATATTTAGATTCAGCAAATTTTATTTCTAAACTACTCAAATTTCTATCCATTTCCACTGGAATCAAGTCCATCCATCTTGCTGCAATTGACCTTCATGAACTATCCAAAATATGATCATTTTAAGCTAGATAATTTGTGTCTTCAGTGAGAATTCTGAATTTGTTCTATGACTTATTTTCTTGGCTTTTCATGGAATTCTCAGCAGTCTTCTCCAATTCCAAAGTTGTGCACTAATCTCAAATGGGGAAGTGGTAGCCCACTCAAATCCAAAAACCTTCAAACTTGGGGGGGGGGGGGGGAATGAGCAACCATAGCCACTCAGTTTTGTCAGGACTGAGATTTCTAATCTTCTTGATTTTCCAATATTTGAGATTCTTGTAAGAAGTTCCCCAACTCAGTGCTCTTTAAATCCTGGCTGGATATTATAGGAGTTAAAATACAAAACATTTGAAGAGGAAAGCTCTTTTAAAATCACTTGAGGTACAAATAAGCAGGATAGAAACAATTCTGACGTCTTCATAAACAATAAATCTAACAATTTAAACAATTGTTGAAAACAATTGTTTTCCACAGTCTCCAAACAGATTAATTTCTTCTAGAATGTATTGGCTACCTGCCCTCTAAATGGTTTATTCTATTAATACAGGAAACACAATGTAAAAGTGATACCCTTCATACCTGTAAGCCAGGTTGCTCCCAAAATAATGGAACAGATCCACGAATTTGTATAAAAGAAGACACACATTCATCTAGAAATATCACCTGTTGGACATATATTTATTGTATTAATTTGTCTTAAAACAAATAACAAGGCAGGGTTTTTCTTTTGTTTTTTACACATTCTTCCACAGTTCTGCATATTTAAATTTTAACACTGAGAAAGTGCATTCTATGGATTAAAATGAAATTAACATTGAACTGTTACTTAAAATGCAGATAATCATTATCCTTCAGGCTCCTCTGCTAGGTTATGACAATTTCTCCCATGTGCACTGTTTGGTGCTCTATGGGCTTGGTTGTTTTCATTACCCAAAGCTTAAAAGAAACAAAAACACCAGACCACCACCTTGCCACTAATCAACACCCAGATAAGCAGGGATTAACATCAAGATTAACACTAGACAAATAAACAGTAAATAGTATTCTAATAAAGTAACTACTAACAAGAACTACCAAGGAGAAAACATCCTCCTCACCAACAGCAACAGGGCAAGCTGCTGTGTACTAAACAGAGAGCAAATTCCACTTACCTAGTTGGATAATAAAATGTCTGCAAAAAACAACCAAGCTCAGAGTGTACCAAGTACCACAATTCAACCCTGAGCTTGTTTGTTTACTTATTAGAAAAATGCTATAGTGCCAAATTCTGTGCAACGTGTTCAATAAATCTTACTTCCTAATATATGCATTGAGAATTTTTGCTTTAAAGGGCAAATTTATACAGAAATGTAAAAATAAAACTTTTTGTTTCTAAGCCCTATAATTTCAAATCCATACTATGACAAAATCCATGTAATGTGTGTCTTGCGGGTGTAGTTTAGCTGCTACCACCTATAGAAAAACTCTCAATTTACATACTCTTAATTAAATTAATAAACAGTTAAACCCTTATCATACCTGCTCTGTTTCAACAAAATTGGCTACATGGCCATCATCATTTGTTCCTCGAACATTAAATCTGGTCCCAGCTCTCTCACAGCTTAGCCGAGAAATAATGCAAGCCTTTGCTTGTTTGTGAGCTGCATAAATAGTTCTAATCTCCACTCCTCCACACATGAGTCGTAATAACCAGTCATCACACTTCACTCCATAATGTTTCAGATGCAAATGCAATGATTGATTCCTATCAGAAAATTAAGGATCATAATTTAATCCAGAGATTAAATGTGTTAACAAATAATTATAATGTGTATTTAGAAAAATAGGAGGAAAGTATAAAAATTATTCAGACTTTAAAATGTACATTTGAATGGAATGTAAAACATTTCAAATATTTCTACATTAAACAATATTTTATAAATTAGACTTAATAAATTACATTCAATGAATTTCAGTTTACTTTTATTGGGAATTTCAAATGACAACTTACGGAGAAAGCCTAAATGAAAATAGATGGAATTTCCCATTTAACGCTTATTACTTGAGAATATTTTTTCCAATCAATTACAGCCTTGTTTCTCCAGATTAACACTGGTTATATTGAATAAGGTTATTTCCATGTGAATATACAAAGAATTGGAGAATGTTTAAACAATAAAGTGATAACAAAACACTGTACGTTTAAAACAGATAAGTTTTAAAGACTGTGGAGTGCCTTAAACTGTTTTCTGTAATTTTGGGGGGAAATGTTTACAACCCATTTCTAAACTTAGATTTGTGTTTTTCTCCATAGATGGAAACTAAGTATTCAGAAAATTTCTTCAATTATCACTGCAAGATCTGATTTTTTAAAATAATATATTGCTTTAAGAAAAAAAATGGCATTAAAAATAGATAATGTAAAAATCATGAGACATTTCATAACACAGTTACATAAACTAATATAATGGATAGAACTTTTAAAACAAAACTCACCAGAAAAACCTATTATCAGTGCTTTCTTCTTGCATGTTACGATGAGCATTTAGACTAAGATCTAAACTGACTCCAGTAGAAGACCAAGCAAAATAAAAGTTTCCTGAATTCAATACTTTGCGCACTTCAGAGACACGTTCCTCATCTGAAGGATCAGTTCTTAGTGATATCAAATCAGTGGAAGTAACACGAAAAACTTCAGAATCTTGAATTTTTCCAACAGACATGCATCCTGTGACAAGTACTAAATAATGCAGTAACGTGTCTCCTGTAATAAATATAGTAACTGATTACTATTCTTCAAGAAAAAATAATTTTCAACATGTTTTACTGTTTCAACACAGAACTGAATTATTTTAAAATAATTACTCAGAACATAAAATTATCAGTAATTGATTTTCAACTTATTCAATAATACCTTGGTGTATAAACAAAATTACTTAAGTTCTCTGAAAAGTGAATATACTAACCTACAGAAAAAAATCACAAACAATCTGAAATTCTAATCACCATTATTTTTCTGAAATGAAAACTTAGGCAGACAATTTTCTAAATAAAAAATAGAAGGTACTTACCAAGGTTTAACCTTAATACACCTAGGAGTCCATATGCGTCCATTACCTTGGAGTACATATTCTTGATTGCCTCTTTCTCAGCACATGCTGTTTAGATAAATGTTCAAAATTTACCAAAAAGTTGGTTTACAAATTCATTCTAAAGTTCTTCATTTTAATTAGAAGTATTTACAATTCAAAATAAGCAACTGGATTTGTATAACTGACAATACAATTGAATAATTAAGAAAATAGATGAATGTATATGCTTCAGAATAGAGCTATCAAATGGCTTTGCATAACTGTCAAGATTTTGCAAGAACCAGAGGGCTTCCTTTAGAAACTATTGATAGCCTTCAACTTACAATCATTCGCTCAACAACTGTTACGACGGTGCTGAACCAGTCCTAAAAGCTACAGCCATTGCAAGCCCTTGGTAATTTATGACTGCAAAAGCATTTCAACTTTCCCCACCAATCTCCCCCATTTATGCTCTTTTGGCCCTTGCAATTCCAGCTGACCTTCATTGTCTTCTTCCTGCTTCCTGCTAAAACCAAGTGTGGCTGATCTAGTCCTTTGAGAGGCTACTGTGGGCTGCACAATTCTCTTCCCAGGATCATGCACGTTTCCTTGTACCAGCTGGAGAAGATGGCCTCCTGTGGCCAGCATCTGCCTTGCAAAGGGTCAGGGCAGGCACATCCTATCAGCAGTGGGAGCAACAAAGCAGTGAAGATCAGCTGGGCAGGGGCTATGCTACTGGACTGCAGCTTGTGCTAAGTTACTGGAGCTTCTTGGGGAACTTGGGGCTTCCCAGGATGTTGCAATTTCACCCCATGCTGTTGGAGCTTCCATAAAGGCTGTGGCTTGGCATCACACTGCTAGGCCAGAGTGGAGCAGCTTCAGCTCAGGGGCCTTTTACTAGGCCTCTTGACAAGAATTGTGGGAACTTTTTAAAAAACCCTCCATCAGAACACACCAACTTCTGATACGCAACAATCTTTCATTATAACAATTCTAAGCAAATTTTAATACTTTAACTACAGCATGTATCACAGTTGGGATCCAAAGCGGGGGGGGGGGGGGCGGGGGGGTGGGGGGGGTATAAGCAAGAATAAAAGCTTGGTTTGAGCCAAGAGGATTTTGAATATAACTGATGTATTCCCAAGTTACTTTCTTAAAAAAAATACTATAGTTTAAGCAATTCAAATCATTTTTTTATGTGCCAATCACTTGCATAATGTTTTGCATACTAAACCCAAGAGCTTGGAGGCAGAGGTCTATACTGCAATAATAATGAGTTTGTTAACAACTTTGATAACCATTTCATCAAGAAATGGTTTTATTTCATGACAGCAATAAAACATACAATATTTATTAATACAAAAGACAGTATGCATTGAAACAAATTCTAATTGCTGAATGTAAAAAAAGGAATACTATTTTTTCATATTACATGATTCAGCAACTTTTTACAAGTAATGATACTATTACACAATTTAATGTATTTTCCCTCATTTTAAATGGCTGAAATCTCATGAGATCTCATGTAATAATCAGTAGATATCATGGTATTAATGTACATTGCTACATTGCTTGATTTGCATTGATTTATATTCTATTATTCATTTCTGAATAGGTTCAAGTATAATGAAACTGTCCTTAGAAGCTTTCTTTTTCACTCAGCTATATCCTTCAATTTAAATCTCTTGACTGAAAATATTAAATATCTGCTGACAATCATAATGATTTTATCTGTTCAATTGTGTCCAATTCTCAGCAATTCTCTGGACTAGTTGTTTCCACATTTTCCAGTCTTGTATGAATTCTTTCAGTTGTTTTATGCTCTTGATGTCAGTTTGATGGTATTTAGCCCCGTGGTGTTTTTTTTTGGGGGGGGGGGGGGACATTTCCTTTTACTGTTGACCATTCCAAGCATAATTGTCTTTTTCTAGTGAAATGGTTGCTTGATATGGTCAAAATAAGGTGCAATTTCGAGATTTTATCTTTCAGAGATATGTCTGGTTTTACATAGCCAGTAATTGCTTATCACTTTTGCCATTCAAGGCAAGACCTGTTTCCAACACCACAGTCTGAATTACTGAATATTTCTCCTAGATGTCTACTTTTTTCATTGCAATTTTCACAACTGCAGATAAGTTTTGGGAAACACAAGAGTGAGGACTAATATGCATTTAGTAGCTAGGCTGGTGTCCTACCTTTTCTGTATTTGATTCATGCTCATCCTTGCTGTGTGACTCTGTGATATGATGCTTCATTTCTGGGCTGTATTCACTGCTTTGATCAATCTGTGATCAAAGGAAAGGGAATTGATGCATGCATTTGATCTCTTCACTGTCATTTGTTACTTTGACATTTCCATTCTTTGCAGTGGTCATGTTGGACTTAAATCCAGAGACAAGATGGTGAGAGCCAGTCAAGTCCAATTTTTTATTTGCTTACAACCAGTAGACAGAATCTTGCCAAATTATAGCTGTAACTTTCTAAGCTATTAGAATATATCCTGAAAAGATTCTAGGGTATGATTACCCGAATCTCTTCCACTCTCCCAGCTTGGGACTACACTGTCTCTTGATCCATGTCTCTGTCCGAGGAAGTTCTGATGCTGCAAGTGCATATTCCATCACAGATCATGAGTTTGGTCTTTTTGAAAAGGGCAAATTTCTTGTCTTCTTCTTTAGTCCTTTCCATCAGATATTTCAGGCCTCCTTAGTTTCTGAGAATTGTGTCATCAGCATGTTGAATATTGTTGATGAACCTTCCTTCAGTCTTCACACTGATTTTTTATTTTTCAAGTTCCAACTTCTTCATGATCACTTCGGCACATAGGTAAAACAAGAAAGGTGAAAAAAAATGCAACCTTGCCACACTCCTTTTTCTATTTTGAAAAATTACCTTCAGATGGGCAGTTAATAAATTTCACAAATAAATACAATTTTGAACTAACCAGTGTCTCTGTGTTGTTTGCATATTGACCTCCTGACTTGTGTATAGTGACTGCACCAATGTGATGAAATGGGTTGGCACCCTCTGATCTTCTAGGTTTATGCATAGCTTATGATGACTAACACAATCAAAAGTTTTCTTGTAATCAATAAAATTTATGTAGATGCACTTTTTGATATTCTTGAGAATTTTCCATGATCAGCATGGATTTGCAATATGTCACAAGTGCATAACCCCTATTGAATACAGTTTGAACACCTGATAATTCACTTTCAATGGTTAGAACTAGACTTTGTTGTATGATCTTAAGGAGAATTTTGTTAGCATGAGGGATGGGGGAAATTATCTGCTAATTGGAGCAATCCTAGGAATTGCCCTTTTCTGGCAATGGAATGAACACCAATTGTTTCCAATCCTGTGGCCATGTGTTTGTTTCTGGCACAAAGCTCTGATGTGATGGATGATATCAGCAATTCTGTGGGGATGGTTATCAACACATGGGGTCTTTGTTGTTTTGACAGTTGGCTCACTGCCCACTTTTATCCCTGAAAGATGGTAAGTTCTATTTCTGCTTCCCTTTTGTCATCAACTTGAGGAACCTGGCCATTTTGTTATTGCCATATAGTTCTTCTGTATTATCCCATCATCTGTCTCCCTATTAGTTAGAAAGTTCTTTTCTTTGGTTGTTTTTGATGATGCTTCTATGAGCAGTAAATAGTGCCCAAATCCTTTTGACTTGCACAACCTCTTTCCTGATGTATTTCTCTTCCTTCATGCATTTCTCTTCTAGCTGCTTGTAATACTGGTCCCAGTACATTGTTTTTTCTTGCTGGTCCTTAGAAATAAACATTCAATTTCCTTGCTTCTTCTTGTTTGTCCGCTGCTTTGGCTGCTTTTCTTCACTTGGCCATTCTGGTTTTATTGGAGATCCACCTATGCTTCACTTTTTCCTTGGCTTCTTGCATGGTTATATGCTCACCTGCTGTTTTAATGATGGGCAATTATTATTTTTCTTGCTACAGTTTATTTGGCATCTTCTCAGCAGCTCAAACCTATTTTTTTTTTACCTCAATTGCACACATAGAGGAGATTTTGGTGATGTTAAACTTCTTCAGTGATGCTGTATTTTTGATGTCACGTAATTTGACTCCGATCTTAGCCACCAACAGTTCATGAGCTGAACCACAATCAGCACCTGGGAACATTTTAACGGTGAGGACTGAATTGGACCAGTGATGGCTGCAGAGGACACAGTTGATCCGATCACAGTGCAATTTATTTTGTGAAGTCCAAATGTATAAGCACACCTGTACTATTTGAACCAGGTATTCATAATTCAAAATCAATTTCCATGGAAAAATAGAACCAATGAATTCCACCAGTTTTTTCAATGCTGGCACAGAAACCCTCTATTTCAAGTTCCATAGCATCAATCATCGTGGCACGGACTGGACAACTATGATTTTGAGGGGTTTGGCACAAATTTGGAGGATCAAAATGTGACGATTAACTATTGGAAATTTTCCACTGCTTGGTTAAGTTTCTTGCTTGTAATAATGCCGCTTCATTCATTTTTCTGGTGTCATATCCCAGTAATATATAGTGAATTCCCCATACTGGAAATAGCCAATGTCTATCCAATGTAGATCACTGATGCTTAGGAGGTCAAGGCCATCTCCTGTTTGATGATTTACCCCGACTCATTCCTCAGACATTCTACATTGCTATCGGATGTGCCATTGTACAGCGCAGATCCTTGCTTTTATCAATGCCTGCATCAATAGCTGGGATTCCTGCTGGATTTATCCCAGGCACATTATTAATGCTTTGACTACACACTGCAGATCCTTGCTCTTCCCTCTTAGCTTGTTGCATACCGTCTGGTCTCGGGATCCTTCCATTCGGTACCATTTCTGATTAATTTGAAAGCCTTTCCATAAAATTTTCTTGGCAAGATTTTTACAAGGTAGGTCACCAGATTTTATCTCAACCATCCCCATTTATCCAGGGTTGACATTGGCATGCAAATATTAGATAAGTTTATCTAGTAAGTTTAAAACAAACATTCCAATTTAGAGTTGCCAACCACTTCAGCAGCTATTGCAGAAACAGAAGTTAATGTTGCAACATCTAACAATGCATCAACATCATATCCCAGACAAGTTAAAAACAGCTTTATATTTCTTTATACCACATCAAATAGATAGGAATAAAGCTTTTATCTTTCTCCTCAAAAAGAAAAAATGATTTTTATTAAAGGGAGATTCATTAATGCAGCTTATTTATAAAAATCAGAAAGTAATTTATCTCGTATGCTTTTGAATTTGAATTGGGCCAGTGTAACCGCCAAGTATGGAAATTAGAATCCAAGCAATATTTGTATTTGTTTGTAGATTGAGGCCTTTCACAAAATCATCAGCACAACTGGAAAAATAGGATGAGGCAGGCCAGGAGAGAGGATGATTTGAAATTTACCCCTCTAGCATTCTCAACTGCATTAATTTTGTTTGTTGTGAGGAGAAGTAATCATAGATTGGGTATGGAGTATGTGTGCTAATGTTTGATCCCCAACTGCAAGCCATTTGAATGCACTAGTTATAAACTATTCTGTCAAAAAAAAAAAAAAAAAAAAAACCACCACCAACCCATAGCATTATTATTAGCCATACTGGCTAGTCTATCAGGAATTATGTTTCAGTCATATCTGGTAGACTACATGTAGCACAATGTCCAAATATTAATTAATCATTAATTCAGTACTTCTATTCATCCATCCATCCATCATCAATCTATCCTAATAAAATATGCCAACCTGAAAATTGCAATGTAAAAGACTAAAAAGAAAAAGATTAGAAATCATTGGACAGATGAAGTTTAGCCAAACACAAATGGTGACTCAACACCATTTGTTCTGTTTCAATCTTTCATTATTGCACATATTATCAGCAATCTGCTTATATCTGCAGTGATCATCAACTTACAGAGAACAGCCACAGCTCCAGATTCAAACATGAGACATTCTTCCTTGTTTCTGGCTTCTACAATTACACTGAATGGCGGTGGGTCCAGTTTATGATAAATACGATAGCCTTTACTGAATGCCATTTTTCCTTTATGAAAGACAAAACTGTACAGCAAAGTCAAAAAAGAAAGCACAATTTTTTAAAATAGAGATATCCCTAATTAAACTATCTTAAATTATTTCAACTGACATAACATATTCTGATTTTATATACATGTAATTGTCATTATACTCACCCAATTAATGCAAGATATCATATTACAAGAAGATTCACCTCAGAAACTGATGATCTAAAGTAATTAATAAATATAACCATTGTTAATATTATGTTAATCAAGCATTTATCTACCCTAATTATTACTTTCAGCTCAGATTACTATTACATATTTTTATGCCTTCTTTAAAAACCACACAGGAACTCTGAACTGACTGTTCCAATACAATTGAAATTTTTTTGAGGATAGGCTATTTGCTTCACTGCTATTCATCCTTTAAGCATCCAAAACATACTTTTAATAAGCTCCTTCAGATATTGCTTTTTAAACATCCGAAAGGAGTGTTCTCATACTATTATAGTCTTATATAGTTCTATAGTTAGAATTTTAAAAGCTATCAGCACTTGATAAAAATGTGATATTTTTCATAATATTCTTTCATAAGTGTCACATATATGCACATTAAAATACCAAAATATTTTAAAACAAATTAATTGTTTCACTATGTGTAAAAATGTATATCTGTTAAAGCACATTTCACATAAAGTACATCCTGATGCACCTAAGCAAAACAGGGAGAGAATAAATTTTATTCTGTGATGCATTCCAGGTTAAGGCTCACATCCAAATCTGTAGGGAACTGAAATATCACAAGATGCAAAGAAACATCCCTTTTTATATAAAATTAAAATATTTGTATAGATACAGAAAAACATTATAAAAGACAAGCTAAATAAATGAAAAGCTGTTTATAGTTTGGTCAACTAATGATAGACATTCCAATTCTCACTGGCATACTAGTATTACAAGTGCTAGAACCTGCTAATGCAGTTAGCAAGTTGGTTAACTTCTTTATATGTTCTACTTCCATAATATCATAAACAGGGAAACCAGAGAAAGCATGTTAGTAAATGTACCAGCAAGCTTCTCTATTCTTTTATTCACATTTTAAATATATAATAGATCCCTCTATACCACTTCAGTTGCCCAACTCTAAGCAGCTTGCAAGCAATAACATATAACTGCAAATCTGTTAGAAGCATTTCCACAGCCATTACAATTAGAAATAGAACAGTAATTATCATTTGTGGCTTAGTAACTAAAAATTGAAAAAAGTAACATTTACTTTAACTTGCATCCTATCACATCCAAAAGTAAAGATGAGAGTTGGCTATTTTTAAAAGTGATGCATTTGCAAATAATCATTCTAATTACCACTGAGCATTCCACACTCATTTAGGATTTAGCTTGAGCTGGAATAATCTGACTCAGCTTCACAACACAGAAATTAATTTGTCATCTGCTAAAGGAGAGCAATCAAATTCCAAGAAAATATGTAGACTAGAATATAAATCAGATCACTAGCAGCAACATAACAGGTAATTTGAACGTAGAGATAAATCACTGTTACAAACTAGAAGTAAATTAAATATCATCTCTTATATGAAAGACTGAAACTATTATCTGGTTTCTGTATATTCCACTTCCTGCTTGTACACAGAAAAATGTATGTTATGTTTTTAAATATATAAAAACATCTATTTAGGAAAAGATATAGCAGAATAGAAAGCAATGGTTCTGTTATGAAGTAGCATTTTAGTATCCCATTTATTCCCTCTTATTGAGAGGTGCAGTATTTTTTCCAAAAGAAAACTGATTTCTCAGGGAAGCACGAACAAGAGAAAACTGACTCCTTACTAATGGCAGCAGTTAAGAGAAGCACAAGATTTTTTTGTTAAAAAAAAAACCCGCAATAGTTCCAGGAAAAAAACTACACTTTTTAACATTAATAGAGGCAGCACAAAATTTTTTTCCCAGGCAATATGCAATGACAGTTCTCTTTCCGTCTCTACTTACCCACCCCCTTCCAGGTTCTCTATGCTGGGTAGCCGCACTGAAGAGGGCTTAGCTCACTAAATATCCCCGCCCCCCACGCACCGCTATCTTTGCATTTCCGCATGAAAGACTTGGGGAAGCAGAAGTTGGATTAAAGCAAAGCAACTGTAAGAGGTCTCCGGTATCCATCTTAGAACAGGCTATATACTGCGACCACCAGACTTCCCTCGTTGGACTGTTAGGTTGGTGGTTGTGAGAGGCTGCAAGAAGGTACCAACCTTACCAAAGCAATGCCAATTAAAAGCCCCAAGCAAAATAAAATAATAAAAACAAAGAAGCCGCCAAGTCACACCCCCCCCCTTTTGACAGGCTGACACAGAGATCTGGGGGTGTCACCGCGGTTCATAAAGCCTCCATCTTGTGCGAGGACACCACTTCCCTTCACACCTCTACAGATCCGTCACTACGGAAAAGATGGAGCCCGTTCTTTAGGACAGTTAAGGCTCTCCAAAAAACGAGGGTCGAGAATCCCAAACAGGTCAAGTCAACCCCTTCGTTCAATGTTCCTTACCGCCTCCGACTGAGCTTCTCGGTGCCGCTGTCTGAGGCACCTGCCTCATTTCCTCTGTTCCTGACCCATCACTTCCGCATTATACCGCCTCTCGCCGGAAGTGGTGGGAGGGAGTCTGAGGAGAGCGGAGCAACAAAACGCTGGTCTCCGCAAGGGGTTGGGAGGCAGGCGCCTCGCTTGCCTTCCCTCTGTTTCAAAGGTGTCTCTCCTTCCCCTCTTAGTACTTCAGAATGCGGTAGTAGGCGCCAATAGTGGACCATTTTAATAAGCAGTAAACTTAACAAACCATACAATAATTAAAGTGGCCGTTTCATTTGTCAAATCACACACACTTCTGAGTGCAGGTTCACGCATATTCACGCGTATTGCTCGTCTTATATGTGAAGTGAACGATCTCTTTGCTCTGGCAACCAAAACCATTAAAAAACACCTGATCAGTTAGTACCAATAAATATTTCTAGCTGAGGGTTGACATGAGGGTCCTTGGTGCTCTCCGAGCTTGTTTTCTTGCAGACGTTTCATTACCTAAACTAGGTAACATCAATGGTAGTCTTTAGAGTTTAAGGAGTCTGCTTTGCATTTTGATTTTTCTTTCCCCAGAATGTCTCTGGGACTTGCCATAATCGTGGTTGTGGTCAGTCTCTCCATGTGCCCTGAAATGGTAGGTCTGTTCCAGATGTTCTTTGAGGTTAGCGTGCAGATATTTGTTTAATCTGAGGTATGCATCTGTGATCATGAGCTGTATCATTTTTTGCCTACTTTCTTGGACTATTTTCCTATCTAGCAATGATGCTGTTACCGAGTTGAGTAATGAGACATCTGCAAGAAAACAAGCAAGCTCAGGGAGCACCAAGGACCCCTTTGATCAATTAGTTTTGCTACCGCGAATTCTTTCTTTGTAGTTAAACCCAACTTCGGTTTTCAAATGTGCCTTCATTGTAGGATATTGTCTCATTTGTAATTTTGAATGGTAAAAACGTTTACCAATTTGTGTGGTTTTCTTTTTAAAGGCAATTGAAATACTTGAAAAGATTTTAAGTGTATTTAATCTCCACCCAAGCTATATTACCAACGAACTTGCGCTTTAGACATTGGTTTTATTTAGACTCTGGTTTTATTGTATTGCGAACAGTTGCTGGGGTGCATCCACAGTTTTGTTGTACTTGTACAATGACAATAAAGTTCTTCTTATCTTATCTTATTTATAGTTTATAGTGTTAACTTCAGCAGACTAAATCCACCATCAATGAGAAGGTCCAGTTTACACAGGCCTACTTAGAAATTTCAATGGGAGGTAAGTAGACAAGGGAGGCATGTAGGCACTATGTCCTAATATAATTTTTATCATTCCAGGGAGTCAAAGACAGTTATTTTTTAAAAATGCTAGACTTCTTGTATGTAATATTTTGAACTGACAAATACTTCTATCTGAAACACACTTGTGTTACTTTAATACTTGTTTCAGCTTTTACTTTAAGATGTTTGGTAACTGACATTCAGACAAAAATAAATTTTCCTGAATGTTCAGCTCTTTGGAAGTTGTGACAATCAGGCATTTTATTTTAAAAGAATCAGTATTTTACTGTAGTATTTTTTGTATTTCACATAAACTTCCAGGTAATTAGTATTGCTACCATTCTTTGCTGTTTTTGGATATTTCTCAATATATTATTTCTTAAAATGTTTATTAATTTATATAACTGCCTCAGAATGTGAGCTTCTATATATTTACATATTTAAGAACTGAAATGAGAAAAGGGATGGCAAAAAGTATGCAGACTTTGAAGAGTATATAGCAGGATTAATTTATGCACATGCTATCACTGAATTATCTGTCCCACAATTTTTGTCCAACTACATTAATTAGAACTGTAAAGATCATTTTTTGATGTAAAAAAGCCAAGTAATAACCTTTAAAAGCAGACTTTTGAGTTTTATAAACTTGCTTTTCCTAGCACCCTGCACTATGTATTCACAACATTGTGTGCCTTAAGAAATTTAGTACTGCATGTTATTTGGAGATGTGGAATATTTTTCATAAGTCATTAAAACACTCTTAAAACATTGACTGCTGCAAAGTTCCTTTATCTCTGAAAATAATTTTATCAGGGTGAGACTAGAGTATTTACTTATTTCAGTAGAGTTTTTAACTCTGTATTATAATTATATTGGTATTATTGTCATAATCTTTAAGGAAGTTAATTGATTACCTGATAAACTACTGCTTTATAGAAATTGTACTAATCTCATATAAAGAGGCTCAAATATATGTTGCTACATTTTAAATAATTCAAAAATGCACATACTGCATTGAGAAAGGAGTTACAAACATTTGAAAAATTTCAATTATTCTGTTTTAGTGATTTTGAATTATTTATAGATCTACTTATTTCAGCTAGGATCAGATGAATATTCACATATATCCACATTTAAGCAAATAAGTTGTTGGGTTTTTAGATTAATAACTTGTTTTAAAATTTTTAGTTTTGTTAATTGAGGTTTGAGGCCTATAATACCGGAAGTGACAAAATGGGCCTATTATTCATCCTACAAAGCCTGAGGCGGCTTTTTTCAAGCCTCTGGGAGGCCGAAAAAGGCCTCAAACCAGCTGCAAAATCAGCTGTGAGGTGCATGCAGGTAAGCGGGTGGCGGGTGGCTTGCATGCGCATACGCAGGGGGCATGGGGGGACACGCACATTGCCTTCTGGGTGCTGGCACACGAGTGCATGTGTGTAAGCGCACGCACAATTTTTGGCACAGGAGCTCAAAAAGTTTAGCCACCACTGTCCTAGGTAATGCTAATATTGTTTTTCAGAAATAGCAATCCATGTTACTAAAAAATGTGAAAAAAATGAATTTTTAATATAGTGGCATGAAAATTTATTGTAGGGCAAGCTCTAAAAATGATGGCAAAATATAACTGTAATTTATCTTAAGGAATTCATAAGAGTAATTTAATTTTGTGATTTATCAAAAAAAAAAAAAACCTAATATATATATAGGATATGTATGTAATATATAGGATATTATGTGAATGAATGATAAACATTTTTAATATTGTCTGCTAAAAGGCACAAGATTAATAGCATTATTCTTAATTGCTGTTTCCCTCGTGACAAAAATCTTTTTGTAGCTTCATAGTTAAGCCTTTGCTTGCATTACATCTTTTCAGATCTAGTTTATAAGCTCTTTATATCATTTACCTCCTAAATTTCAATGTTAGTCTTAGCTTGTGAACTATTAAATTTTAGTAAAAATATCTATTACTATATTCAATTTTACATCATGTATCCTATTTCTTCCTTTTTTATCATAACATAATTTTGTTATATAACTGCATATAGACTTGTAGTCAGATGACTTCTGATAGCATTGTACAATGGAAATGGGACAGAAATATTGTATTATCAGCTCTTATGGTATGTTTGCCTGCCAGCAGCAAAATTCTGTTGCTGAATAACATTGGAGACATTGTGGGCGTTGTAAAGAAACTTGCTAAAAGTTGTCCTTTCCATTCAATGTTCTATGCTTAGTAAAGAGATATTGTTAATATGTACAACAACCCAACATAAATAATGCCAAGAATTTATCAATAGATTGTATTTTCATAGTCCCAGATATATTAATTCTATTTAGTCACATAAAAATATGGAAAGTCTTCTTCCTTACCTTTCCTCTCTGAAAAAGAGAAGAAAATCATTGCAAATTGCCCACAATTCTACTGATGTCTGCCGCCAATATGGTTATATTTATTGCAATTTCTTGGTGTTACTATGTAAGTGTAAAGGCTTGACATCATTTGGGGATACGATTGAAAATAATCATGGCAAGGAATTCAGAAATTATTTAGTGTCCAAAGGCAAACTGTACATTTAATATTTTCTTTCCATCACACAACAAGATCATGATAAAGTACGATGGTTTGGTAGTCCATTTCTTTTTTCAGGTACAAAGGACTACATATCAAGGTAAGATCAAGGAAGGTATCTACAGTGACAACGTTCTTCTCAATTCAAACTAAACTTAGGAGCAAGCCATGACAACCAAAAGATTAATCTTTAAACAATCCAAGTAACTTTGGAAAATTCAGTGAATGATCACAGGATATAAAATCCTATGGACATTGTGGGATTTTAAATTGTTATGAGAAAATGCATTCTAAAGAATTAGGGGGAAAAATGCAATTTAGGAATGTTGTTCTTAAAACAAGGATCTAACTTACATGGCACAAATAATTTCACCTGAAATATAATTTATTTGGGAAACTGAAACTGTGACTGCAGGGTTTTTTTAATCTAAAATTTAAGAATATTACTTTATGATCAATATGTATATTTTTAACAACATTATTTGAGAAGCTTGTTTACTCTCACAAGGCCATACATATTATGCAGTTGTGACCAATTTCAGCAACAAAAATTTACTTCAAAAGGTATCATTTCAAACACGTAACCACGGAGGTATAAATATCTGAAATCATCTATTCATTTTATCATAAAGAATTTCTTTCCTACTCTGAAATTAATTGAACAGATGGCCATCATGGGATATAAAAGTTTTTGTAAACAAAATGCATGTGAAAAATCTTGGCTTTCACTTTTCATCAACACTATTACACACGATGTATTTAAGAATGCACTTTGTCTTAAAAACAACCTTTTACAATTTAAGAAAACTTTACATATGTACAAAATTACAATTCAGGAATGATTTTATATTATAGAATTAATTGACACAATTTTATTTCCCATCACTTAAGTTCTTTAACTCTTTTACATTATGATCATTTGCTACTGTAAAAGCATGGTCCAGTGCTCGAATACTTGATAGAAGTTTTATTATCTGTTTTATATGTTCCCTACAAAGAGAAAGAACAGAAAATTCAGATTGTTAAAAAAAACATGCAAAGTACAGATGTATCTACAGTATTTGGCAAATATGCAATACAAGTATATCAAATAAATCATGTAACAGTACTTAAGATGCTCACAAAGCCTCATCCCTACAATGACCATGGAGTGCAGTTTAGAATAGATTTACCATTATCCCTCCAACAACAATTTGTTCCAAAAATTCTAAAGTATGTTTAGAGTTTTAAACATGCTTAATTGTTGACTCTAGAAAAAGGACACAGCTTTGCTAACAGGAGATGCATCAGTAGTACCACAGCCCATCAAACAAATGTCAATCAAATAGAGAACACCTTTGACACTGTTTTTTTTCATGCTCTACATCAGGGGTGTCAAACTCACGTATCATGGCGGCATCACATGACGTATTAGGACTTTTTTCCCCTTGCTAAACTGGGCGTGGCCAGCATGTGACGCATCTGGCCCCTGGGCCGGGAGTTTGACAGCCTTGCTCTCCGTGAAATTGCTTTGAAGACCACCCAGAAATCATACTTGGTCAAAAATAGGCATTCAGTTTTTTGACTGCCACATGATCACATTATACCCATCTTGCAAGGCTCTGTATTATCAGTTGCTTTTCAGGTGCAATTCAAAGCAAAAATGGTCGTCTCATAAATTCCTATATTGCTTGGTGTTCATACACTTGCAGGCCACCTACTGTATCCTGAGTCAACTGTCAGGATAGCCCTCCCACCAAAACTCTTAGCGGCGCCACAATTCTATCAGTTGACAGGACTGAAGCTAAGCACTGCCCCTTC